ATCCTTTGGGGTTCTAAGGACACAGTCTATAAATAAATACTTGCCAGGTGAAGAGAAGAAAAAAAATAATTAAATCTGTCTTTTTAGGCAGAAATGGATAAAATCCTTCTGGAAGCACTGTTTTATCACACAGCAAAATAATGGAGCTTGTTGACTGGAGTATTCCCCATAAATACTTCAAAAACAACATCACTAGCATGACCTCCAAACTTACTATGCATTCCTTAGCTTCTCCTGTAAAGAACTAACTGAATAAAATATACCAAATGCCCTTTACCAAAACCTAGTGAAAAATGAATAAAGTGGAAGATACGGTAAGTCTGAAATGTCTTCAAATAGTAGTTGAAATTCCAGATGAACTGGCAGTTGTTACTTTCCTTTGGAAATATGTGTTGTATATTTCTCATCATTACCAAAATACTTGTTTCTTCAATAACTTCTTACTGAGGAATTAGATGGAATGTATCCCATAAAGTCACTTACATACAGAATTTTAACCGTTAAGCATCTCATTGGAATTATATTAGACTGAGTAGGACTCTCCTAGGCAGGCCACAGACACAATTATTTCATATCACAATACTTGCATATTCACTTTCTTTCTGTCACCCACCTTCCAGGACCACTTCACAACATTGTGTATGTATGCATATGTGTTTATGTGTGTGTGTGGGGGGGTGTGCGTGCATGTTTTACGCCTTTGGGGGATTCTTTACTGTTTCTGCACTTAGCTCTTTTTGGCTATGAAAAGCTGCCAGAATCAACTTTCTCAGAATTCTTGATACTAAGCAAAATCTTTTAGGAATTAGGGGAATCACTAATCAAAGGAAAAAATTCTGAATCTCTTGAAAAAACATTTGTAGCATTATTCGATATTGTGGTAAAATTCCCATAATATAAAATTCACCATATTTTCTTTTTAAAATATTATGTCACAACTTTTTAAAATTCCTTGGGTTATACACCTGTAAGGGAAACTTCTAAGTTGTATAATTAATTTTATTTAACTTTCAAGGAACTTCCAAACTATTTTATGTAGTGGTTGCAACATTTTACTTTTTACCAGCAAGGTATGAAAATTTCAGTTTAACTTTCCAAATAGCTAATGACATCAGCATATTTTCATGAATTTGTTGGTTATTGTGTGTCTTCTTTGGGGAAAATATCTATTTGAGACCTTTCTCCATTTAGAAACAAATAACATATTAGAACTCAGATAAAAAATTATAGAAGTAGATCTATCCTTTTGAGTAATAATAACTAACATAAATGGATTAAATTTTCCAAATTAAAAGCTAAAACAGTTATTGACAGATGCAGTTAGCATCTATTTATTCATAGCTTAATACAGAATTGTCATAAATCACTGAACAAAGGGCTGGGGATATAGCTCAGTGGCACAGCGCCTGCCTGGCAAGTGCAAGGTCATGAGTTTGATTCCTGGTACCAGAAAAAAAACAAAGAAAAATTAAAAAAAAAATCACTGAACAAAGTGAACAATTTGATAATAGCCAAACATTCATCAAAATAGAGTCTCAAACTTCATTTTATTTTCTGGTAGCTCATCATATATATAAATATTCATATATATCCACATATTTACATATAAACACATACCTGGATATACATGAATGATTACATTTTTTGTATTTTAAAATAGTGTCTGAATATAGTGTTGCATGCAAATCTGAAATACAGGCTTCTATTCCTGACCAAAATAAAATTGATGGCAATTATTGTATTCATATAAACACAGTTATTATGTACTAAACATATTACTTTTTTCCAGAATGCATAGTATTCATAGTATTTCAAGGCCTTTGTTAACTTTAACATTATTTAAGACCAGTCATTGAAACTGAATAAGAAACTGAACTTCAACAAATAAGCTACTTAAGAGTGATATATAAAAGACATAATAAAAACTTACTGAATCTAGTGAGATAATAATCTCAAACACTGCAGAAATAAAGACAAAAAAATCAGGTCCATATTACTTAGAAATAATTATTAAAATGTTTAGTGAAGTGCAGTTTGTCCTAATGTAGAACATCATTTTATCTCTAGGTTTGATAGTCTCTTCACAACAAATATCAGAAAGAGAAAACTGGTTCTCTTTATACCTTTATTAATACATGGAAATTTTTTAAATGGGTCAAGCACCTAAATCATTTAAGTAGCTTATTTGCTGAAGTTCAGTTTCTTTTCAGTATCAGTGGCTGGTCTTACATAATGTTAAAGTTAACAAAGGCCTTGAAATACTATGAATACTATGCATTCTGGAAAAAATGCATAGCTCCCTTTTAAGCTACTTAAATGTGATATATAAAAGAAAAATATTTCAGAGGTATAGTTGAGGAACTTTTTAAGAAAATGAATCACAAAGGGATGCAGCAGAATTTTTTTTCTTTAAAAAAGAAGAGCATATGTGTATAAGATACAATGTAGGAACAAAAGGAATTGTAGTAAAATAACAGGGAGACAGTTAAAAAAATTATTTAAAGGTAGTAGAAAATTTCCAAAACCAAGGGTCATAGACTTCCAGATTCAAAAATTATTTGTACACACATAAGTTTTTACCCTCACTATCACCATTATGTTTAAAGACATAAACAAATGAAAGTTGCCAAAAAAACCCCAAGTAAATGAAAAAAAGCAAAGGAAGCATAATTCACATAAAAAGGATTAAAATTCATATGTGTACTAGAAGCAGGGAGATGAATAGACAAAAGGTTTTAAAAATAATGAGGGGAAAGAACATCTATCCTAGAATTTTAAAACAATCAAATTCTGAACAGGATAGACTATATATAAATTTTATACTCCAGATGAGAATTGTGTAACAAACCTAAGGAATTTCAGAGAGAGGGGTGGGCAGAAATCCCCCCTCCCCAAATATTAATGATGTGGGGAAGGAATAGAATTGATAGGTTGTTTGAACTGTGGGAAAAATGGTATTTAGAGTGTTTCACAATACTGACAATGAGTTAAAACATCTTGAGATATTTGGATCAAATAATAAGCAAAAATAACGAAAATAACATTGAAGGATGTAGAAAATAAAGCGTTTTATTCTGGTAGATACAAAAGATAATACCTTTTTTTTTGTCTTTTTGAGACAGGGTGTCACTATACAGTTCAGGCTGGCCTGGAGCTCACTTTGTAGCCCAGGTTGGTCTCAAACGCTCAAGGATCCTCTTACCTCAGCCTCCTGGGTGTCGGGATTACAGGCATGTGCCACCATGCCAAGCATACCTATATTAAAATAAATATAAATATTAAATAGCAACTATAAAAACCATTTCAAAAAACAAAAAGGTATACTATTCATAAATGCAAAGTTCAGAGCAAAGAGCGAGCTAAAGAGTGAAGGAATCTTGTTTTGAAATTCTGTATCATTTTTATTGTTTTTTTTCTCTTTAAAATAAAGAAGTGAATGAATGAAAGAATGGGAAATAATATTTCAGAATGATGGACTTGGATGATTTTTTATTACCCTTTGGTACACATTTTTAAAAACTCATTTAAAAATGTTTTATTTGCACTTGTTTACAGTACATAACGTTTACAGTTGGTACACATGCATAACACATCTTAATTCCATTTTTCATCCTCTTTCCTTCCCCTTTCTTTTCCCTCCTTTCATTTCTTTATCCCTTTACAATTTGACAAAGAGCTATCTCCCTGTTTATTATCTATCTTTTATCTTGCACTTTATTTATAATTTGGATTTCATTTATCAAAAACCATCCTATATTTAAGATTCTGTGTCTGATTTATTTCACTTAACATTAGACGCTCAAGATGCACCCATTTTCCTACAAATGACTGAAATTTATCTTTCTTTATGGGAGAGTCATACTCCAATGTGTGGAAATACATTTCTTTATCTGTTGATGGACATTTAGGCTTCTTCCAATATTTAGCTATTATGAATGGTGATGTTATAAACATGGTATACATATATCACTGTAATATGGTATCTTTGAGTCTTTTGGGAAGGTACCTAGAAGGGGACTAGCTGGGTGAAAACAAATTTCTACTTTTGGTTTTTTGAGGAATCTCTGTATTGATTCCCATAGTGGTTTGTGCTAAGCTTACATTTCTACCAATAATGTAAAATTTCCTTTTTCCCTGCAGCCTCTCTAGAATTTGTTATTATTTGATTTCTTGATGATAGCCATTCTTTCTGGGATAAAATGTAATCTCAATGTTGCCTTAATCTGCATTTCTCTAATGGCCAACGATGTTGAACAATTCAGGTATTTGTTAGACATTTATACTCCTTGTGGGCAATTTTTAGAAAAGCGTTAAATATTGGTATTCAGATACAAAGAAGCTCAGATACCAAGTGCTTCCATTTACTCAATTCTAAAAGGAAGATATAAAAATATTTCTGAGATTTTAGTGAATATTAAATTACTACATATAGAATATTTAATATAGTACTTGATATTCAGTAAATATAAATGACTTACTAATAAAGAATAAGAACAACAATAAATGCATCCTATGCATATCAGCTATTTTATTTCTAAGATGTTCTGTGAGCCTATTATTAAGAAAATACTTAAATGAAGGGGTGTTGAATTCTGAACACATGTATAAAACATCACAGAAATACTGAGATCATAACATAATTAGACTTGCCTATATACTTCTAAAATTGCACCTACACACATGCATTGTGTTTTAAAATAATAGCAATACAAACTAGAACATACTAACTACTAAAAGTGCATATAGTATGTCGAGTGAATTGATAAATTAATGAACAAGAGAACATGTACAATTTAAATTAATTTTAAGCAAATATTAGCCGGGCATTTAAATTTTGCTTGTTTGGTATTAATGTGCTTTGTTTACCAGATAAAAGAGACATAAAAGGACCACAATTGTAAATTTTCTTTTTCTATTTTTCTTCAAATTAGAAGATCAAAAACCAAAACAAATTAAAACTAAAAGCCCACAAGCTTCTTAAAGACTATATAGAGATAATCATGTTGCTTCTGAATCAAACAAGCCTGACCCCAGCTTCACTGATTCTCCATGGGATCCCAGGGCTGGAGGAGATGCACATCTGGATTTCATTCCCATTCTGCTCAATGTATGTTGTGGCAATGGTTGGGAACTGTGGACTGCTCTACCTCATCAGCTTCAAGGACTCCCTACATAGGCCTATGTATTACTTCTTAGCCATGCTCTCCTTCACTGACCTGGTCATGTGCACTGCTACAATCCCCAAAGCCCTCTGCATCTTCTGGTTCCATCTGAAGGAAATCAGCTTTGATGAATGCTTGGTACAGATGTTCTTCATCCACACCTTCACAGTGATGGAGTCTGGGGTGCTCATGCTTATGGCTCTGGACCGCTATGTGGCCATCTGCTACCCTCTGCGCTACTCAACCATTCTCACCAGTCCTGTCATTATAAGGTCTGGTTGTGCTACTTTCATGAGAGCGGTGCTACTCATCATTCCCTTGATTTTCATCACCAAGCAACTACCCTACTGTAGAGGCAACTTAATCCACCATACTTACTGTGACCAGCTCTCTGTAGCCAAGTTATCCTGCGGAAATATCAAGGTCAATATTATCTATGGTCTGATGATTGCCCTATTGATTGGGGGTTTTGACATCCTGTGCATCACAGTCTCCTACACCATGATCCTGCGGGCAGTGGTCAACCTCTCCTCAGCAGATGCTCGGCAGAAGGCCTTCAGCACCTGCACTGCCCACATCTGTGCCATCGTTTTCTCCTACAGTCCAGCCTTCTTCTGTTTCTTTTTTAACCGCTTTGGGAGCAATGCCATCCCTCCATCTTGCCACATCATTGTGGCCAATATTTACCTGCTCTTGCCTCCCACCATGAACCCGATTGTCTATGGGGTGAAAACCAAGCAGATACGGGACTGCGTTGTAAGGATTCTTTCAGGAAGCAAGAATATAAAATCTCACAGCACATAAAAAAGTACGTTTTCCAGGAAAAGGGAAGTAATGAAAGGGAAGAGAAATGAAGAAAATGGGCAGAGTTCCGGGAAACATAGACATGAACACATACTTTGTCAGATGTTTATTCATAGTCTATTGATACCTCCCTAAAGTTCACATTTTGTCTATGACAAGAGGTATCACAGAGTGGTGCATTCCCATTTAATGTACTCAGAGCCTCAGTGGTACAAGAATGTCCTTTCACTTTGCCATCTCCCTCCCTCTCGAAGAACTGTTCTCATCCTTAATCTAATTTTCTGTGATCAAACTTAAGTAGAAGCTGAGTGAGTTATCAAAAGAAATGAATAAAGCCTATGGTGATCATCTGACCACTTCTCTTTTCACCTGATTCAAACAAAATGCTTCTCTATAGACTACTGAGATTTGCAGATCTTCTCAAGATGGCTTTCAAAACAAAATAATATAGAGATACAGAAACCTTTTAGCCAACTTAAGAAAGATCATCATAAGTATTATTTTTGACTACAGGGTAAGACAAGAACAAAAGTCTTATCTTGCCTTCTTCCTATTTGAAAATTGAACTCAAGAAGTAAGTTCCATTCTCTTAATTTTTAAGGTTCTTACAAATTAATGAAGGATGGAATGCATAAGATAGTGATTTGATATGAATATTACAAACAATGCCAATTAAATAGTGATACACGAACACCTTGTTAATCCCTCTCTATCCAGCTAAGGTGAACATTTAGCCCTGCTTTCCCCCTGACTCAGTTCATAAGTGCTTATGTCATCTTCTTCTTCTATTCAATTTTAAAATCCTACACAACGGCTACCCCATCTCTCAAAATACCATTATTCCTTGGCTCACCTCTCTTCCTACACAATTTAGAGAAACGTCCTATAACAATTCATCAAGACTCACTCTCTCTCTCCTTTTTCCACACAAAGCCTCATGCCCTGCAGTTTGTTTTCCTACTCATGTCCTCGAATTGCTGTTGTGGATTCCTACAGTGCCTGCCATATTAAACTGAATAGATTGTTTGCTAATTCTCACCTATCAGTACCCCTGAATAATGCTGAGAATATTTTTTATTTCAGAAACACTAATACTTTTATGTTTTTCTCCTTGATGACTGATAAGCAGTACCATTATATGAAGAGAGTGAACATCTTTTTCCTGCTTTTGATGTTGTGACATTGAACCTAAAGATTCAGTGTGATGCATGTTTTTTGTACATATATTTTAATAAGCTAAAAATATTTTTACAGTTTTTAAATCACTATAGAACTGGATATTTATATATATAGAAGATTGAAATTAGATCCCTCTGTCTCATTCCACACAAAAATTGATTTGGAATGAATATAAAACCTAGGTGTAACTCTGAAATTACTAGAACAAAACTTAAGAAAAACAGTCAAAGTCATAATCACAGGAAAGGACTTTCCCAGTAGAACTAGAATAGCACAGGAAATTATAATAAAAATCAACAAATGGGGCTACATCAAATTAAATAGCTGCTGCCAGACAGAGAAAACAACAGAGTAAAGCGACAGCCTAGAGAATGGGAGAAAATCTTTGCCAGCTACTTTTCCAACAAAGGATTTATATCCAGAATATATAAAGAACTCAAAAAATTAAACACTAAAGTATAACTCCATCAAAAAATGAGACAGTAAATTGAACACATACCTCTCAAGAGAAAAGTTGCACATAAAAATGCTCAACATCCTAACCTTCAGGAAAATGAAAATCAAAGCCACATTGATATTCAATGTCACCCTAATGAGAATAGCTATTGTCAAGAACACAAAACACAGTAAATGTTCTTAAGGATGAAGGGGAAAAGTTACCCTTCTACAGTGTTGTTCTAATGTAAATTAGCATGAAAGATCCTCAAAAACCTGAAATGACCATTTGATCTACCTAAACCACTCCTCAGTATATTTCCAAAAGAACTGTAGTCAGGGTAGTATAGAGATACATGTACATCCGTGTTGATTGAAACCTAATTCACAATAGCCTTGGCATGGGTGCCGGTCAACAGATGAATGAATAAAGAAAATGTACTGTGTATACACAGTGGAGTATTCACTCTGAAAAGAATGAAATCATGTTATAGGAAATGAAATCATATATAAGAAAATGGACGTGTCTAGAGATATCATGTTAAGGAAAATAAGCTAGACTCAGAAAGT